GTGCACGGAGTACCGAGTACTTGTAATCCGCCTCCCTTTCCCCCTGTTCTCCCTTTCCCCAGCATCCCCTCTTAAGCTCGTATTGTTGGGCATGCCTGGCTGGCTGGACACACTCGACATTTGACAAAAGCGTCGAGCAAACAAAGGAATTGCTGGCTTGCTCAGCCGCAGTTGACGCTGCAGTCGACGTCAACGTCAGCGTTGCCGGACACACAATGAAGTGAAAAATATGATATGATGGGGCAATACTCTCCGTTGCGGGGGCACGGGGCACGGGGCGTGCAGCCCTCGAGCTGCCCCCAATTGTGTTGTTGCCTTCTTTTCTTTGCTATTTTATTTATTTTTTTCATTTTCCCTCGTTTTTTTTTTTATTATTTATTGTGATTTACAGTTGAACGCTTGATTTGATTTTCAAGTGGTTCCCACGCCAGACCCCAAAACGTAGCCAACGACCATTTGCAGCTTCGACTTCCTGACAAACATGGCCCACCCTGAACCCCGCCCCGCCCCGCCACGCCCCGCCTCAGCTCCCGCAACCTAACCCAATGCGCGTAGTTAATTAGTGGCCATCAGTCAATTGGAGTCGTGCCCTGCCCTGTTTTTCTTCTTCTTTTTTTTTTGTTGGTTCCGCCCATCCGTTTTGTTGTTGAGCCATTTTTCAGCCTGGAGCGCATTTCGATAACGATTGCCAATACTCGATACACGTGCGCGAGTGCGAATGCGAACGCGAACACGAGTGCGGGTGCGGGTTCGAGTCCGGCTCACAACAAAGGCGAACTTGAACTTGCAATTTGCATTTGGCATTTGGCATTTGGCAAACAAATTTGGTAGCGTCGCAGACAGGCTCATTGGGCAGCTGCATAATGGAATTAGCCGGTAGCCGGCACGACACATCTGCCTTATCGATGGGCCCCCGGGGACGCATACGTTAACGCCAAAATGCGTTGCCGCCCGCTGCGTCGACCCGCTCGCAAATCATCGATTGCCATTTGCAGTGTGTCCTTGTTTTTTTTTTTTTTTTTTTGCTTTTTTTCTTTTTTTGCCTGGCGACTCTCCACATGCGCCCACACCATGCCGCCTGCCACGCCTTGTTTATGCCACTTTGATTGTCTCACGTGTGGACAATTTGTTTGCAACGCACTGCGGCGCCTCGCTCTCCATAAATCCCACAGCATTAACCCATAATTTTTTAATAGATTTTCTGCTACGGCAGGAGATGTTGCCCTTCTCTTTTTCCTATCCATTTTTGTTGCTGCACTGAGAAAAGTGCTTGAGACTTTCCAACAATTTGGTTTGCTTTTAATTATTAAATTGCATTTTTGCGCTTTTTCATTGAACTTTTTTGACGATCTGGCAGCGCGCAAGGCTTGAGCTGGGCGCACTATTAAGTTGGCTGCGCCTGATGCATACACAATACGCGTTTATGCCAGCGTGAAGTTGGCTGCGCTTCAACAGATATCTTATTTCAGGTAGATTTCTCGAGGCATCAGAACTTGTTGCAGATCATTAAAAAGGATTTAAAGTCGACATATTATGTGTATATTGCTACTTATAGATCAATCCTTCCCATTAACTATCTGAAGAGTAATATATATATCTATATCTATATCTGTATCTTTGGCCATAATTATAAATTCACATCAAATATAAAACGAACAGAATATATAAAACTTATTACAAAATTTCGCTCAGTGCAGCATATGCTTTGTAGAGAGTCCAGTGCATACAATGTGGGTAGGGATCGAAAATGGAAGGGTATGGAGAGGGGCAACAAGGGGGAGAGGGTGGTTGAACAGCGAGTTCAGTTCAAGTTAAGAGCGTAACAAAAATGCGCATCACGTAGCGTCGTTCAAAGTGAATATGTCCAAGTGAATGTTGCGTGATAAGCGCCCAGAGTTATTGCGTCTGCCAAGTGGCTCCATATACCAAACACACACACACACACACATGCTCACATGAGTGTGTGTTGGAGAGAGCACGCGACTACTTTTTGGGGCTGGCTTTGCAAATATTTATTGAACATTTTAATTCGTTTGTTGTTGCAAATAAATTCTGATTTATTGGCAATAAAGCGCACAAATAGACAATATGTTTGCCACTAAAACTAGCCAAAAGCAACTGATAAATAAGCACCCCCCCTCCCACTCACAAACACCCATCCCCCAGCGTAAACAATGCCTCGCTGTGCTGGACAAATGGACAGAAGCTTAAGCGGCTCGTGTGCTGAATTTTCAATTTTTCTCTTTTATCTCCTGTTTTTTATTTTATTTTCTCCTTGTTTTTCTTTTTTTAAGTTGGCAACCAATAACTGACTTGCTTGTGGCCAGATCTGTATAGCCTGTGCTCATTATTAAACAGGGTCTTTTCAGTTTCTGAGGTAATAAAAGAATAGCTTCATATTTTGTAAGATTTTTGATTTGGCTGGCTTAGATCTTGGATTTTTTGTGTGCTTTAATTAAATAAAATACAATTTGTCACTTTATATCTGCAAAGGGAATCTTTTCAAAATAAGAAATTATTCACCTGATATTTTGTTTATGGTTAAATGGCTGCAGATTGCATCGCAAAGCGAAGTACAGGGTATCGTTGCTTAGCAATGCTTGTAAATTCAGCTCCGATTACAGGGTAGCTGCTCATTGTGCTCGCTCAACAAGTGCATTTGACTCGAAGCATTTTTGGGTCTATAGGCTATAGGGTATCTGCCAGTCGGTTGGCTGCGGCTAGCGCGATCTTAATTGTTTCTATTTTCGTTTATTTAGTTGCTTTGGCGTTGATTTTTTTAAATTTTCATTGTTTTTTTTTCGGCAAATTTCGCTTTGCTGTTTGCTTTACGCTCAATCAAAGTCCAGAAATTGCTGCTGTTTGCCGCATGTTGCTGCTGCTGCTGCTGTGTGTCATTGTCATAGTCATTGTCTGGGGCAGCATTGTTGTTGTTGTTGATAACAACACCCTCTTGGCCAATAGAGCAGCGCATCGGCAAGTTGCTAGCGGTTGGTGGCAAGTGCGTTGAGGCATGTGCCATGTGCCATGTGGCATGTGGCATGGCTATATGCGAGCGCGCCACATGTCGCTCATCAGTCATCGCACACAGCAGCATAGACCCACACACACACACACACACACACACACACATCTGGCGCGTCTGGCATTGTCAATGTGGCACGTTGATTGTTGTTGCTACCTTTTTTGCATAAGTGCCACATGAACATATGTGTGTGTGTGTTTGTTTCTGTGTTGTGTGGCGCTTGTCAGGTGTGCTCGTGCTGTATTGTGTGTGTGTGTATGTTTTTTATTTTTTGGTTGTTGCTCTTGTTGCCAATGTCTGTGACAGCAGCAGGGACAGCAGCAACTGTTGTTGCTGCTGCTTTTGTTTTGGCTGGTTCATTTTTTGCTCTATGCGCAGACAACAACAACAACAACAACAACAAGAGCAACAACAGCAACAGCGGCAACGAATTTTGAGGTTGTTGACGCCGTAGCTGATGATGATGATGATGCTGATGACAACTGCTGCTGCTGTTGTTGCTGTTGTTGCTGTTGTTGTTGTTGTTGCTGTTGCTGTTTACCTTAATGATAAGGCGCTTGTCAGTCAGTGCGTCATTCAGCGGACAGGGGGCGGGCGGCGGTGTTGTGGTGCTTAGGCTGAGGGGGGCGGGGAATGGGGTGCATGCGGTAGACAGTCGTCAAATGTTGCGGCGCTTGTGGTTGTTTTATGCCATTTGCCTCAACGACAAGGACGACGACGAGCACGAGCAGCAGCAGCAGCAGCAGCAGCAGCAGCAGCAGCAGCAGCAGCAGCAGCAGCAGCAGCAGCAGCAGCAGCACAACGGCAACATGTGCTGCTGTGTTTTGTCAAAAAACATATTTGCCTTGTCTTCGCATATGTACGTGTGTGCGAGTGTGTGTGTGTGTGTGTGCGGCAACACAAAAAGCACATTCACCAAATATAATTATTAAACATGTTGCCAATTTTTCGAGCGCTTTTTAATCCTGTTGTCTGTGCATTCCCCACGGCAGCCACGCCCACTTGCCACACACACACACACACACACACACGCAAACACAAGCTGTGTGTGGCATATAAATAAAACTGTATTATGCGGTTGTGGCTTATGCTGTGATCGCTGCACAAAATTCTCGAATTGCTGACGTGTTGGCCCTGTGGGGGCAGCGCTGCTGTCGATTCGCCTTTTTGGCGTATTTTTGGCTGGCGCAAATTGTGGTTGGCTTTTTGGCTTTTGAACGCTGTTTGCTCATAATGCCGCAGACCGCTTGCCACTTGAAATGTTGCTTGGTTTTCGTCTGCAGTCCGGTTGCAATGGCAACACAAACTTAATTTTTTGGTTTACAATCCCAATTTAAATCAAATTTTCCATGTCGATTTACGCTGGATGTCAATTGGCCAGTGTAGAGAGTGCTTGCAGCGTAACTCGGCTGCAACAGAATATATTGCTAAATCTTAAATGAACATCATTTGTATTTACCCTATGTAGACAACATACCAAGTTTCGCATTTCTAGCTCTCATAGTCCCCGAGTTTCAGGAGCTGTTGTATTATTTATAGATAGATAGGACTCTCTAATATTTTTTGTTAATAGTCGACAAAACAAGGGTCTAGCTAAGTAGTTAATAGATTAATTTAGAAAAATTAAAAGCTAAAAGCCCAATCAGAGTACAAAAATCGCAAATAGCATAATGTTATTTGCTATTCCTTTCCAGCTATTCCCCTTTGCACGGCTTATCTTGTTTGCGACGTCATTAAAGTCTACAGCTAAGAGGGATTTTATAAGTACAGCTAAAGAAATTCTAAGTAAAGATTAAATATAATCTTAATTACTAATATTAAATAGGCATATACAAGAAATTTTATAAAAAGGAAGAACAAATCGAAAGAAGTTATTAAAAAGAGTAAAGGAATTTGTTTTAGAATATAGACAAGGGGATAAACAAGGATAGAAATATATTGATATGAAATATAGAGATATAGTGATGGCAAATACTTACCAATCTATGCCGCTATGCCGTTCCCGAATGTATTCTGAAAGCAGAGATTTTATTTGAAGATGAGAAAAGAAAGTTCAGTATAGAAAACGTGCCAAGTTGCCTTTTTAGCATTTATTGAAAAACCTATTACCTTTACTTAGATTCAAGGTTTGTTTTCCAAAACATTTGAGCTCATAATTACAAAACGCTTTCCTATGCTGCGCACAAAGTTGATAACCACAACAACATGTTGATTTCTAATGTCTTGTTCGTAAAATCTAACAAACAGTTTTTATATGGGTTATTTAGCAAGTATTTTGTTGACAAGTTGTTGGTATTGCAGGGTTGCCAGACAGATTTATGCATGTCAGTGGCAAAACCAGCTTCGGTTCAGCAAATAAGCCAAGAAACATTATTGGATCGAATGGACATGAAGTCAGGAGCGTGCGTGGCGTCAAACTAGTAAGCGTGAGGTCGCTGGTTCAAATTGAGCTGAAATGCTCGTTTGCTCAAAAATTTGTAATTAAACCTTAACTAAGACAGAACTACACTAGCGTGGGCTTCGAGCCTCATTTAGCCATCGTTTGCACCGGGAATAGATTGGGATCAGAGTCCAGTCGTTTTCCATAGTTCAAATGTTGGCATTGTTTGCGTTGTTCGACACAATTCACATCAGGCAGCAGATCTGACAGCGATCCTTAATATGATGGAAGATTTATTGAGCTACCCATGGATTATCTGCTGGCCACTCAATGGCTATAATTCCTTTGGAAACTATTCCGATTTTCGAGCCAAGTGACAGCGGCTAAGTCAAAGATACAAAAAATGAGCAGGAAACCAACAACAAGAGTGAAGCACAAACAAGCGACAGCAACAAAGGCAACAACAACAGCACAAAAAAGCATTAATTTTAATTTCTACCCAATTCTCTTTGTAACGATGTGAAAATCTCTTAAGTACTCTTGTCATTGACACTCAAACCCAAGCAAAAAAGCGACACACAATACACCCCCAGTCTGTGTGTGTGTCGGGTGTGTGTGTGTCGGGTGTGTGTGCTGGGTGTATGGCAAGCGAGGGCTTAACCTTAGTTAAGCTGTTGCCCGTCTGCCCGTTGTCGTCTGTTGACGGGCGGCTGTGACACAATCTCATCAACAGATCAGAGATTTGCAGCTCGTCCTCGTCGCGCACTGATGACATCTGTGGTATTTTCAACGTGCGACGTGACCGGCATAACCGGCACAGTCCACAGTCTGTAGTCCACAGTCCGTAGTCCACAGTTGGAGGTAGCTCTACCTACGCGCCGCTAAGGAGCAGGGGCACGCCTGTAGGTAACTGCCGGCAGTGGCCATGGAGCTGCTTAAAGGGGGAGCTGGCGTTGTATGGGGGGCAGCCCATGGACTCACGGACTCACGGACTCGCGGACTGACGGCCCGAACGGCTGACTGCCTGACATTTGACACGCGCCGTTTTGGCAGCCGTCAGCCTTCAGAATTTCAGCAGGACATTTGCCCACTGACAGCCGTGGCCGTGCTTGTTATTTCTATTATTTTTTTTTCTTTTGTTTTTTTATATTATTTTCTATTTTTTTTTTGTATTTGCCCCCTACAATACCCTATAAGTGCACGCAAGTCTTGCTCAAGTTGTTCTTTTAGATTATGTTTCAGCTTTTAGCTCGGCATCTTTTTGAGGTTGTTTCTTCTTGTTCTTATACCTTGTTTCCAGGTATAATCTTCGAATCCGAGCAAATAAAATGTTTAACACGAATATCATACTCCAAATATCAGTATATATTAAGGGTATAGTCCAGAAATTCACTATGTGAAATCTCAGACATTAATAGCAGCTAAAAAGTTGGTTGTTCCCTTTAAATGAAATATATTTAATCTCGGGATCTATAAGAGGATGTGCTTTAAGCCCAGATGTAGCTGTGAGAAATTAATTATGTTTATATCGGCTACTCAGGTACTAATTAAGCCAGTATTGCATATAATATAATACTTTATATTAAGTGATATTTAGTTGAAGCCGAACAGATCACATTAGCTACTCCGATAGTTGATCAAAGCTCGTCAGCTTCAGTCACATTTTCTAGTCTTGATGTACAGGATATCTGTAAGTGCAGCTCATTCTGCTCGAATGCCTTAACTTGTTTGATTTTCTTTTTTACTATTTTGTCGCTCTTTTATTTATTTTTTGAGATTTTTTGGCAACTTAATATGGAGGTCAGCGCCTGCGTTGGTCGAGGCGGCGGCTGCTGTCGCCAGTTCCTGTTCGGGCTGTTGCAATATTAATTTTGGCGAATGGCACGTCGCACATGTGAAGAGCATGCGAGATGGCCAAAAGCGAGCTGGAGATTTGCTTAGCCAAGGGCGGCTAGATGTCATAATTGTGCCTGATGTTGCAGGCGGCGGGCGGCATTTGTTAGCCTTCATTTGATTCGTGGAAATTGGCCCAATTAACGCAAAAGGCAGGCTGGCAGGCAAAACACACACACACTCACGCACACATACACATACGCACACCAGCTGAGGCAACCAACAACTCAATTTATCACGCACAACTAAAGTGATTTGTTGCCAATGCCAACCGTGGCACACGGCCCAACCCCAACCCGGGCTCGAGTCAAGGCCCAAAAGTCAGTCGCATGCAAAAAACGCAGGGTAGGAAATTGTTTAATCAATTCATCAGACGACGTGCATGTTGCATAGGCGTATGTGTATGTGTGTGTGTCTCTCTGTGTGTGTGTGTGTGGCAATAACAGACAGGATATTAACTTACAATTTCGACTAGAGCTTGCGCTGGCGAACGCGACGCGCGCGTTGTAAACGTTAAACGACCAAAAATTTGTTTGAATAATTACCGAGACAACACACTCACGTATGAGTGTGAATCCCCCCCATCCCTACCTCCCACCCCCCTCAAATCCCTCCCTCCCTCTCTCGCTCGTCTGCTGCTATTCGGTCATGTTATTGCCGTGCCACCCGTCATTGACTTTACAAGCAAACAATTTGTCAAATGCAAATACAAATAACCCCTGCTCGGACGCCTCGCCCACGTCCTTGCCCCCGAACGACCCCTGGCCCCTGCCCCTGCCCCTGCCCCTGGCCTCTGCCCAGAGCGGCGACTGGCCAGCATCGTTGGCTGCCAATTGAAAAACGATTCGAAATCAATCACAGCCGGCATGCTGTGGCCAAAAATGGGCAGGGGCCAAGGGCGAGGCCAGGCGAGGCGAGGCGAGGCGCGACCGCAGTGGCAAACGTTGTTGCTGAGCTGCAGGGATTTGGCAGCTGGAGGTCCATTAATAATTCTTGTGGCATGTTTTATGGCCGCAGCGACAGCAACAACAGCCAAAAACCCTTCCGCACACACACACACAAAACGAGCTCACATGCAAACGTGACTTTCAACTGTTGACCGCGTGCCAGCTTTGACCATTTATTGGCATGTTACAGCCCCTGCTCCTGCTCCTGCCCCTCATCGCCATCCGCCCCTCAACGCTGAGCCAAGCCACACTTTGCGCAAGGTCGTGTACTGTCCATTGCCAGGGTTATCGCGCGCCGCCATCGCCAGCCAAATTGATGGGCAGTCATCAATTTCACTTGTTGGCCATCCGCCATGCACCATCCGCCAACCGCGGGCTACCAGCTCCAGCTCCACCTCCGCCTTCCGCTCGCAAACGCCTCCATATTGGCGACCGGTTGCTGGTGGTTGCTGGTGGTTTTGGCTTGCGCTCCATTTGTCAACGATTTGACTTCGACTCCAACTGCGACTGACGGCAAGCGGATGCGGTGGGTGCGACTTTGTGCACTCAATTAACCAGCTCATGGAGGCGGGCATAGGAGCTGGATCTGTAGCTGGATCTGTAGCTGGAGCGGGAGCGGTAGCTGGAGCGGGCACAGGGCTGGGATTGGGTGGTGTGAACACATGTAGCTATGGGTGTCAACATGTGTCGCCAGCCTGTGGATGCACTAATGTATTGAGCTGCATTGCAGTTGCAAGGGTCGAGGCAGCCAATCAGAAGACGCCATCGTTGACTGGTATCTTAGACCCGTAGATAAAGAGATGCAGCTATGGAAAGGGGCGTGGGGATGGGAGGGCTCAGCGATTCGGTAATCAGCCAGGGTTTGCATTCAGCTTCGATATGTTGAGAATTTCAAGAGACATAAAAAAGCTGTAAAATGGAGATATATCTCGAGGATACAGCTGCAACTACAAGATACTGAGAATATATATGGATCTGTGCAATGAATCTGTGAGATGCAAATGTATTTATAAAATCAAATGAATCTATAAGATACAAATGTAACCACAAGATGCAAAGTCATTATATGCAGATTGAAATGGAGGAAATGTATCTGTAATCACAAGTTTTATATGTAAGATGCAAATACATCCATAAATAAAAAATTAATCCAAACAAAATCGTGAGATGAAAACACATCTATAAGACACAAACGTATCAATTACTTATGAAGACATCCAAAAGAAACCAATTTAACATATATAAGATACAAATTTTTTTGATAGATGCTCGTGTATCTGTAAGATACAAATGTATCGATGCAAGCAATGAACTGGTTCCTTGAGATACAATTATGCGCTTCGTAGGAGAACAAATAAAAATGTATCTGTAAGATAGAAAATTGCAAATGCCGGTATATAAATATCTGTGACTTGCGGATACAAATAGCTCCGAGCAAAAGATACGAATTAAACTGTCAGTGATACATTTTTGTGTGCATCTTTTAAAAACAAATAGCTGGAAATAAAAATGTAGCTTCCAGCTGCGCAACCATCTTTGATGCAGCCACAAATATCTTTAAGATAGAAATGAACATGAAGCAAACAACTGGAAGATGCAAATGCATCCGACAGATGCACAACATATATGTACTGTGCGAATTCGACTATGAGATATGAATGAATTTGAAAGTTAAAAATGTATCAAAGTATCTGACAGATGCAAGTGCATTAACCGGAAGAATCTGTGAGTAACAAACATATATCTATGAAATGCACAATTTTGGAATCTTTGAAGCACATTTGCTTAAAATA